ATCAGTAGCCATGATGGCGTAAGGTTAGAGGCATTCTCCATTTTCCCAGACCACTTGGACCTCTGATTGTTTGATTGTGCACAGGCAAGAACTTGCAGCAATGACTGGATACATGTTCCTGAAGACTCCAGTAGAATGGGTTTTTTAAAGCCAGACTCTAATGTATTCAGGCAATTATGTGATTGTTTTTCCAGAAATTGAATCTGTACGATTATGTTCAAGTTTACCCTCTCTCTGAGGTGAATTTGTTTCAGGGGACACATATTGTAAACTTCATATCTAAAAACCACAATCATTTCCAAATCCATAGACAGTGGTTCTTGGGGCACATATGATCATTCATCCTAACTATAACTATCTTTGAAAAAAACAAACCAAAATGCAAATATTTTTGTTTCTATGTCTTTCCCACATAGATCTAGTACTTATGGACATATCTGGTGGAAGGGAGAGACATTAGACAATTTCAATGAAAATACTCAACACAGTTTCATTTGAGTGCATATGGCAGACTTGTTATATTCAGTTTAATGCTGATGCTCAAAGTGTATTTGTTGGTTGATTGGTAGCAACAACTGTGCTCTCCTTTCCTACGGCACAGAAAATCCTTTCTAATTCTAAAGTCTGATAATATCCATGCTATTTCCTAGGAATTTTGGCCTAGAGATCAGCAGTGAAAAGATGGGAAAACAGTAAGAGACTCAGGCTACCTGGTAGACAGTGGACTTAGAGCTTATAGTGGGCACTGAGCTGGATGATGAGTTGCATGCAAGTTTCTTTGGTCCTGTCTATTTGAGTGTTGTTACCAAGGGCTCTGGAGAGTGACCCTACCAGTTCAGCTCTCCTTGCAGCTTGCCCAGCACTTCTTCCTCTGAGTTCTTCTGTACCCGGACATGGACTGAGTTGGCCTTCCAGTGGTGAGGGCCTGCTGGAATCTACAAACAGCTCTGGATATCCTTGGTGACAAGATGAGGAGGAGGTCCAGTTTCGATCAGTGTGATCTACAGAGGGGACAGGAGTTGGTGGACTCTGAGAAGTCTAATCATAAGTGGGAATGTAGATAGAATGTAGCTAGAAGTCTGGGCACTGGGTTGTGTCCTAAGTTCATAGCAGGGCAGAAATTGGTAGGAAGGAGAATAAGCCTGGGAGATAACGAAGAATTTTCACAGCCTCCCCATCCAAAATTGCTATTTTCCCAGGTATGGGAGAGAAATGTCCTGGCATTGCTCTTCCCTGAGTCCTATGGCATTCCTGCTTGTTCTCCACAACCCATCTGGGATCTTCTTTCCTGCTTGGTCTCCACAAGCCATCTGGGATCTTCTTCCTGCCTGCCATGTAACACAGGGGAAGGAAGTTAGATGTTCACCCAAGCCCAACACCAGAAAGATTTGTGTTTTCTAGTAAGGGTGTTCAGCCTTGGCTCTCATGAAGCGCAGGCCATGGAGATACAGGGATGAGTAAGGAGGAGATGCATGACTACTTTGCATGGGGACCTGGGGATGTGGTGAGGAGAAATGGGAAAGCAGGATCCGGAGCTAACTTATGTTCTTGGACTATTTAGCTCAGAGTTGGATAACTTGAAAGTAAGTCAATGAATAAACAAGACAGGGAGCATTTCTTCTAACCCAGGACACTTTTATTAGAGTGCTGGACCTCCCAAGAACATCATCAATAGGGCTCAGTCTGATTTCTTGATTTGGAGGCTCTTTATGATCTCCTTTATCCATTTCAGGAACCTGGAGACTTTGGTGAAGACCCGTGGAGGAGTCGCATTCTTTCTTCCATAGGAGACAATGCCCTGAGCCACGTTGTCACACACGAGCGGGCCTCCAGAGTCTCCCTGTGAACAGAGAGGGGAAGGACTGAGCTGGTTCTCCTCCTGGTTCTGCTGCCCTGTCAAGTTTCACACTCCAGGAGAAGGTCACCGTGTATGGTGTGAAAAAAGATGGACTGTAGGCCACTGGGCATTCTCAGCTGCCAAATTTTGAGCATAGACATTGTTGTTGATTCACCTCACCCCAGGCTGTGTCTACCTTCTGCTTGTATGTCCTAGACCCACTCTCTATAAGGCTCTGTGGGACCTGTGGATCCAGCTACTGATTAGATAAACAGAGGCAGGCAAGTGCAACTAGAGGACAGCTTAGAGGACTCTCCACTCCCCAAAATGGCTGCCATATTTGAGTTGCTGCCTGATTTTCGTTACTTCATATGAAGGGAGAGTGATTTTCTAGTGTTACCTGGTGTGGGGTAACCTTCCTCCCCCAACAAACAAACAAAGCAAAAAAGCAGTTGCTGCCATGCTGATTTAGCCTCAAGGCAATCCCATATGTTCCAGAGGAGAACTGCTCCACAATATTTCCTTACAGGACTCCTCTGAGTGGGTTTGAAGCATCAACTGTAGGTTGTTAGCTGAACTCAAGCAGTTTGCACCATCAAACCTTTGGAATGGGGCAGAGAGTTGCTAATTCTTTTGGAAGATAGACTTTTTCAGAGTCACAGTTGGTAGCAGAAGAAACCCTAGAGACTTCTCCGTTATCCTGTTTCCCTCCTCTCTTCCAAAGGGAAACCTCCCCCACCTCCATAATCTAGTGGATGAAGGAGTCCCTTTACTGATTGGGTCTCCTGGTCCCAGATCCCCTCACATCCTTCTCACTAGAGTCAGGCTACATAGATGCTACATCCCACCTGAAAGGAAGAAGCCTTTTTCTTTCGGTCTCCCACACATATCTCAGAGGCGCTCTTGTAATCACGGTAGCGGGACACACACTCCTTGTCATTCTGCACAGCCAGGTTCACCTCATGCAGTTTCGATGTTGAAATTTTGAGTGAGAGTTTACCCCAGCCGGCCACGCTGCATATCGTCCCTGGTGTTATCTGGGTTTCTGTCTTAGGTAGCTGCAGTATGTCTACAGCATTTGTCAATTTGGCTCTTTTCTCCAACTGTTAGAGAGAAGAAAGTCTTGTTCAACATCAGCCTGCTGAGTCTACAGACCCTGACTGACTGCACTGTATCCTGCTCTTCCAAGGCCCTGCAACTAGTCAGACAGCCAGGGTGGAAGGTTGGGAAGGTCAGGGGTCATGCTGGGTGGAGAACCTCCCTGGACCCTGGGGAGCAAGATGCAGCAGGGGGTTATGCCTCACCTGTAGGAGCATGATGTCATTCACATGTGTCTTTTTATCATAGTCTGGGTGGGGGATGGGTTTTTTCACAGGAATGACCTGCTGTGTCTCTTCCTTCTGACTGATGTCATGGGCGCCCATGGTGACACTCATGAAACTGTAGAGAGAGAGGAGTAGGGCAGGGGGAGTCACAGGAGCTGTAGCCCAGAATGTGGGGAAAGCAGAGGACAGCTAGGACAGGACAGGTGTGTAATTTATGGAAATGGAGGGTACAGGAGGGTTTTGGACTGAGCTCACTATGCTTTCTGCTACTTGTAGCCCAGCAGGATGCTGGAGTCATTGGTAACTTCCCCTGTGTTTCTCAGGGATCAGTTACCCACCAGAAAACTTGCAAGTTTTTTTTTCATTTTGACCCCAAATCCATGTTTCCTGTTCTAAATATCACACAGTTGGTGGGTCTAGGCTCTATTCAGCAATCCTTCTGACACAGACCTGTTCCTCTCCACAAAATTAACTGTCCTCTTTCTCACTTTGTATTTTGAGAAGTCCTTCAACAAGTAAAGGCTTCCCAGGGAAGCGTAAGCTCTGTGCTGCTCCTCACCTTCCAAAACAGTGAGCAGCCGTCAGAACAACGTCTTCTTGGATCAGGAAACCACCACATTTATGTTTTCCATCTTTCCAGAAATGAACATATGCCATGTAGGGACGAGAGTGGGGCTGGGCCTCATGTCCCCCGATGATCTCCCCTGAAGAAGAAATGTAGTCTGTTTTGTGTATAAGTGAGTCCCCCACCAAGTATCTACTTGACTGCGCTAGAATTCTTATGTATTTACAAGCCTGGGATGAGGTGGGGTTGCAGGGGATAGAGGCCTTAGCCTCCTCCTCTAGACAAGAGAATAACCATCTTGGGTCTGTCATCTTTCTTCTGGACAGAGTTGGAGGAAAGCATAGCTGTCTTAGGGAGAGCGATGTCCCAGAGGCTCCATAGAATTCCTCTCTTTATGTCTCTTGGTTGGAAATGAATTTATAAAACCCCTGAGAATCCTGTGATTATCTGCGACAGAACTGCTTTCAAATGGCCAGGACATACGTTTAGGGATCTAAATGGTCTTATGTCCTATTTCCTATTGTCTGACAGAGTGGGTGCCCAGGATATGTTCACTGGCTGCCTGATGGAATAACTCCTAATTGCTGGATGAGGGTTGCTGGGGTAGTGGGATTCTGCATAGCAGTGAAGTTTGGGTCTGCATGAGATTCAGACCTGTACTTGAAAAGAAGGAAGATGCTGAGGCATGAGAAGCAAATGTGACACTGGAGAAATGGACTGAGGAGTCTTGGGGTAAACTAAAGGTAAACAGTGTTGAAGGGACAGTGGGTCAGCTGAGCTGTGTGCTTCTCTTCCAGGCTGATGTGTGAATGAAAGGAGGACTTGTCTCACCCCAGACACAGAAGCCAGGTTCACTTTACCCTGTGCAGAGACATTTGCATTTTTCTCCTTTCTTGTTCTCTACTCATGGCATTGTACTTCTAGGAAAATTCCACTTTACAGATGAAAATTGTACAACATGGGGAAGAAATAGCACCCCCTGAATTATGTTAAGTACAGATGTTCCTGCTTGTCCTGCTGATAGCTTATCGAGACTTTTACTGGGGGCTTGGAGTGGGACAGGAGTAAGGAAAAAGTTTCCTAATAGATATACAGATATGTGCAGAAGGAGAAGATCAGTGTCTCCTATGGCATGAGGTGGGGACCTGAAGGGTGGGTCAGTCACTCACCTGTCTCTGTCCTTGGTACCAGAATGCAGACTAAGAGGAGCAGGAGGAGCCGCATCTTCACAGGCCGATTGTCCTGGTCGGAGTTGCTGGGGCTTCCTCCTGTCTTGCTTTTATTGCCCAGGAGAGGAAGAGGGTGGAGGTGAGCTCAGTTTTCTCATGTTCTACTCTGGTTTTGTGGTGTATCATCATAAAAGGTTTTCTACAATAGATGCCCTTCACCCTCACCACAACCCCACTTGCTGATTTTTTTTTTTTTTTTTTGATAATAAAGTTGTCACCAAATTAGTGCCCACAGTTGATGAGTCAGAGCAGGGACCAAGGGTAGAAGATGAGGGCTGTAGATTATAGCATTACCTTATAGAAGTACTAGAGTCTCAGAAACCAGTGTTCCCAGGATAGAATCAACAATGATTTCATTTCAACATCAGAGTAATTGTTTTTCAGATACGTGTTTAGACTCTTTTCTTGTGCTTGGACTGAACATATCACTTTCCTTAATGAGATAATTAATTATCTGGTGGAAGAGACAGAGCCATCTGTGACCAGAATACAGTATGGTTAAGGTTATGGATGAGGGATACATTCGGCAGTAAGGAGGGAGGGCTATCTACTAGACCCATGTAAGAAACCCATTCATCATCATAGTGGATCACTTTTGAGTCAATGAACTTAAATTGGAAAGGACTGGTTCACACAGGGCAGGTCCATTTAGTAAATTGCTGATACCATGGGAAGTGGGAAAATGTGCCATGCATCTGTATACCAATAATTGTCCCTTCAGTATTCTCTGTCCTCTGTTAAGGGATCCAGACTTCTGATGTAACAGACCTTGCTGTTACATTACTTTCTAACACATGGGATTCCCAATGAATCGAAGTTGAATTGAAGACCACTAAAAACAAGCTTATGAAAGGTCCATAGAAGACATTTGCTAGACATCCTTATTATTTCAGTACAATGTAAGTGAAGGATTGTTCTTACACATCAGAGCAAATCATATTCTGTTAAAAGAACAACTATGGGTCATTCCACTTTAATGACTTTGGTTTTAATTTTTATATTTGGTGATTTTTCTTTAAGGATTTTTATATATTAAAATGCATAATTTCAGTTTAAACTTCCTCTCTTTTTTTCAGCAGTGTCTACTCTTCATAACTTAATTTTTCTTGTGGTGGACATTTAAAATGTTAAATGACTTTTCTTATTATAAGGATCAGTGGGCTAAGAATTAGTCTGCTAGCCACAAGGTCAGTAGTACAAACCCACCGGCCGACTTGAGTTATAAAGTTGAGGTGCTCGTAAAAATTTGCTGTTTTAGAAATCTTATAGGGTCTCTGTGATTCTGTGACAGTGGATTTTTTTTTTTTAATTCTGATTATAGTGATAAGATATGTTTGTTATGAAAATCTACAAAGTATAAAATAAAAACATGATGCCTTTGACTATCACCCATATGCAGTATGATCACAATATAAGAATATGTAAAGCAATGTCCATTCATTTTCATTTAATAATTGTAAGTTAAGGATTTATCCAATGCCCTTAGATTCTATTGGTTAATATCACTCTATTTCAGATTATAAAAAATTTAGCATAAAATTAATTTATGCAATTGATGGAAGTTTGAAAACCTCATCTAAACAGAAAACAATTTAAATGACCTGATTTCTTATCAGTTTTTGATAATTATCTGTAATGCTTTGAAATATGATTTGTTACAATTTTTGTCCTTACAAATACAGTAAAACCTATGAAATATGGAATATCTATAAGGTAGAAACCTGTCAGAACAGCAAACTTAAGTATTTTCCAGCAGTAGAAAATATTTGAGTTTTCTTGTCTGTAGAGAAATGGTAAGACAGTACCCTGTCAATTGCAGAAAACATCTGGGGCTCAGATTTTAAATTAAAAGGGGATTATGCTGAGCATAAGGCTCTGATATATTTCATAGTTAGCAATGCAGATATGCAGTCTTCTCTGTAAGGGCATGTTCATCTACATCATCATTGTAGTAGCTACTGCTATTATTATTATTAGACATGTGAAATTAAAATAAACATAAATTGCTTAATGCATCACTCATTTGTGGAACTCAAAGTTGTTTGTAATTGTTGTTGTTGTTTTTAGTATAAATAGTATTGTGAATGTATAATTGTCCTTGTTGTTGTTGCTAAGTACTGTGAGGTCGGTTCTTTGGGTTTTGGAGGCTGTAAATCTTTATGGGAGCAGAAATTCTCACCTTTCTCCTGTGGAATGGCAGGTACTTTCGAACTGCTGACCTGGAAGTTAGCAGCCTGATTTGTAACCACTATGCCACCAGAGCTCATTGTCTTACAGTAAAAGAAATTCTTGGAACAGGGTTATTATTTAATCCAAAATATGAAAATGTACTCTTTCTGGTGCACTGATTGGGACCAACTGGAACGGGGCTGACTTGGCCATGTCCTAGAACCACACCGTGCACATCCAATCAGAAAAATGGCACAGAAGTAGCATCTTGAATCCCTGATCAAAATGATATGAAACTCTTTATGAGGGTGAACCCCAATTTCCTGAGGAGCTTGTGCTTTGCCAAGAAGCTCAGCAAGATAGGTCCGAAGAAGATGCAGGCCAACAACGCCAAGGCCATGGATGCACGTGATGAGGCCATCAAGGCTCTCATTTTTTCCCAAAGGGCATCAACCCCAAGCTCGGTCAACTGGCTTTCATTGCCCATCAGAAGCAGGAGAAGCATGCTCAGGCATGCATTGCCAATGGTCTGAGGCTGTGCCAGCCAAATGGCAAAGCCAAGGCTCAAAGTTAGGTTGAGGCTCCAGCCAAGGCCTCAACTTAGGCTCTGACTCTAGGTCAGCCTCATAAAGGTGCCCAGGCTCCCTGGTTGATGGAGGAAAAGAAGTCAGTCGTCATCTGAGGACAGAGGGACTGATGTGACTCTCTGGGGTACAATCTACATGGAGCTGGTGTCCTCCTGTGCTATTTGTACAGATAAACCTGAGTTAGGAAGAAAAGGTAAAAAAAATTGGCCTTTTATTCATATTGAAAAATTTCTCTCCAGGTTATAAATATAGCTGCTTTGATACCACCACACCAACATGGGACATTTAAAAAAAAAAAAATTTTTTTTTTTAATGTGGAATTTTAAAACTTGAGGCTAATTTACATTCATTAAAGTTCACCATTTTTAATGTCATTTCTTCAATTTTTTTTACAGATTGTTATTTCTGTTGTTAGTACTATAGAGTTGGTTCCCACTCATAACAACCCTATGCACAACAGAAGAAAACACTATGGGATCACATAGTGCCCGCTCACTGCTGAATCATTGTTACACTTAAGCCCATTGCTACTGCCACTGCACCAACTCATCTCATTAGGGGACCTCCTCTTTTATGCTAACCCTCGAAGTTACTGAGTATGATATGAGTCTCCAGGGATCACCCTTCTGATAGTTGCTTTTGTTAAGTGATGTGGAGTCAGTTCCGACTCATAGTAACCCAGTATAGGGTTTCCAAGGATTGACTGGTGAGTTTGAACTGCTGTGCATGCAGGTCAAACTGACTGTATGGTCCTTTGCTTATCTGACATCACACATCAGGATTCCCCCTTCTGATATTACCTTTGAAATATGAAAGACTAAATCTTGCATATGCTGGCTTCTAAGGACCTTCTGGCTGTACTTCTTCCAACAGAGTTTTGTTTGCTTTCAATATTCTCTGCCCACACCCAACTCAAATGAATCAATTCTTCTATGATTTTCCTGATTCATAGTCCACCTTTCACATGCTTATGAGGCTACTGAAAATACCATGGCTTAGGTCAGGCACACCTTAGTCCTTACAGTGACATCGTTACTCTGCAATAATTCAAAGGTCTTGTGCAGCAAACTCACCTAGTTCGCTCTGTCATTTGATTTCTTGACTGCTGCTTCCATGAGTGTTGATAGTGGATCCAAGAAAAATGAAGTCTTTGGCAACTTCATTCTTTTCTCAGTTTATCATGATGTTATTTACTGATTGATTTGTGAGGATTTTTATTTTCATTACTTGGAAATGTAACCCCTACTGAATGCAATAGTCTTTGATCTTCATCAGTAAGTATTTTAAATAATCTTAGCTTTCAGCAAGCAAGGTTGTATCATATGTAAATTACAGCTTGTTGATGAGTCTTCCTCCAATCCTGATGCCATGTTCTTCTTCATATAATACACTTTCTCAGATAATTTGCTCAGCATACAGATTAACTAAATTTGGTGAAAGAATGTAATCTTGGCATAAGTCTTTCCTGATTTTAAATGACTCAGTGTTCCCTTGTTCTGTTTGAACAACTGTGTCTTTGTCTATGCATATGTTCCCCTTGAGTACAATGAAGTGTTCTAGAATACCCATTCTTTGTAATGTTATCTATAGCTTGTCATGATCCATATAGTCAAAAATGTTTGTGTAGTCAATAAAGCAGCGGTAAACACCTTTCTGCTATTCTCTGCTTTCAGCCAAGATCTATCTGATGTTAGCAATGATATTCCTCAATCCATGTCTTTGTCTGAATCTGGGATGAATCACTGGCAGTTCCCTTTCAATGTACTGTTATAGTCATTTTTTACTTTTCTTTAGGGAAATTTTTCTTGCCTATGATATTAATGACTGTTGATTTCGTCATTCTGTTGGGTCACTTCTCTTTGGCACAGCCAGAAATATGGATTTCTTCCATGCAGTTGGCTGGGGAGCTGTCCTCCAAATTTCTTGGCATAAATGAATGAGAACTTCCAGTGCAGTCTTTTAAATTATTGTCAGTCCAATAAGCAGTAATGTTTTCATTCTGCTGTAATTTGTATTTATTTGTAAACAAGATGTTTAACATATCTATTTATATTTTTGTGGTTGTTATGTTCCATGGAGTTGATTCCATCTGACTTCAGCAATGATATCCCTAGTCCATGTCCTTTTCTGAATCCAGCTTGAGTTTCTGGGAGATCCCTGACAATGTTCTGCTGCATCCTTTTCTATTAGCCACATATATGTTGAATACTTTGTTTTATTCCTTGTTGAAAAAATACACAGCAGGACATACACCAATTCAATAATTCTGCATATATAG